GGGCAATGTGCTCAAAGTTGCTAAACAGAAACCACATATGGTTCAGAAATTCCCCAACATCAAAGGAGTGGGTGGTCTGAAGAAAATCAGAGAAATATCACACGTCTGTGACCTGTTCTGTACTTCTGGCTATTACTGAAGATAGAATACTGTCCTAGATGTAGCTCTAATCTTTCCCACACACCCATGCTCATTTTAAGGTGTCTTGTGACAAAGGAAAATACTTTTCGTTAAAAATATCAAATCAGTTCCCGACCATATTAGTGTATAATCTCACGCGCCTTTAGATTGTGTATTTGTGCTTGCATGTGCAAGGATTTGCTTTTGCATTTTATTATAAAAATAGCATGGGCCTATATGCAGATTAACTAGAACAAAGCTTTTGTTTTGTTTTGTTTTAATTTTGTTTGTTTTGTTTTGTTTTCACAAAAGCATCGTCACTTTAAAAATGGGTGCAGATTATTCTTGAGGAGGAGGGCTGGTGGTGGTGGTGGTGTCATTCCAAAACAAATGAAAACACTTCCGCAGGTTTTAAAAATTCTAACAGTAATTACACTAACAGTGTTATTTGTATCACGGTCTCTCCAAAGTTTTTAGAAAAACATCTATGCAGTGCCATAGAGATTCTTAAAAAGTCCATAAAACCACAATCGTCAGATGGGTTAGCTCCAAGCAGCTCGTTTCCTTTAATTTAGTATATAACCAAGAATCCTTTGGAACATTTAGTAACCAAAACTGAGCTCTCAAGATTTAAAGTGGACCTAAGTAATCTGAAACATGGAATGCCCACAAAGAGATGCTGGATGGTATTGTGATTTTTTTTTCCTTTAAATTACAGACTATTAGGTCATGCTAAAATAAACATTAGTAAGTCCATGTTTTACTTTTCCAGAAACTTAAGGAACAAAAAAAGGGCAAGCATGATAGAATTTTTGTTTTATATTCTGAAAAAAAGTTATGTAATCCTCTTTCTAGTGTAGCATATTATAAGAATGAGTTGCTTTCTGAAATTAAAAAGTTAATTGTCAAAATTTCATGACTGTAGTACAGCTCTCAGAATTGCATAGAATTATGACAATGAAAAAAAATTGAACTTAATAGTCATATCTATACAAATACCTATTTTTGTATGATGGTTACTGTCCCACAGGAATCTAGTGGCTTTTTTCCTCCAAGTGCTTGCTTTATGAATAAATAAAAGATATGTATATTTAACAGATGTTTACTGCTGAAATCTGTGTATTTGCTGCCCACAAGAAAAGAAATGTGTCTAATAATTTTAGTGCATTTGTTTCCATTGCTACCTAAATTTCAGACTGGGATTGGGATTTTTTTCTCCTCAAGTGCCTGCAGTTTCTGTAGGTTTCTCTGCTTTGTTGATGTTTAAAGAAAACCCAAACAGCAAAGCCTTAAATAAAATCTAGTATTGATGAATCTTGTCTTTTTCTATCTTCTATATAATATTCTTTGCAGCATAATCATCGTTATGCACACAGTAGATATTAGTAATGTGCTGTTACTAACAGTAGACTACAATGGTTTGCCTGGTTTTAGTTTCAGTGGTTATGTTATTTCATTGTGTTCTAGATGTTAGGCTGTTTCCCTGAGGGGTGAACTCTTATGTGTTATTATCTCTAAGTCATTCTTATGTTTGTATCTAAGATTGCTGGAGAGATATTTTCACTGTTTTGCCCACATCATTCCATTTTCCTGCAGCAGCTTTTGCAGGCAGTTCTCCTTCTGCATGCCTGGATTTGGGGATTTGGTTGTATCTTCCTGCAGCCCGTGCATGCTCTCACTGCTGTCCTACCATGCTCCCTCAGCCACTCCTCTACACTGTAGGCTAGAGCTTGAATCCTTGGAGCAGGATTTCCCTGAATTGAGCCATGCACTATAAGCAGGTCCTGAAGTTCAAGATAAGAAAAATAATAGTCTTGTATATATTTTTTTAAAACCCACACAGCAACACTATCTGTTCTTCTGTGATTAGTTGGCATGTATGTGCAAGCTCCTTTTACATAAAGCACCACTGTACCATAGGGCCGGTGCCTGCATCTTTGAATGGTTATTTGCAGTAACTGCTGTCTGAAAACGCAGCAGGCCAAGTGGCATCACCCACCTCTCAGTGCCATCTTGTCCCACTGGGGCCTCAGTGTTGGACCCCTGTGTCTTTTCTCATCTGTCTGTCATCTTATGAGGGAAGAAGAGCTGTAAAAGCCTGGCTGGTTCCCAGCTGCTCTCAGGTAGGGTACCTGCCAGCTCTCCCCTCTCACTGCCTGCTGTACAAAAGGCCAAAGTGCCAGAGACAGGGCTCTGGGGGCCAAGATCTGTCCCTCCTGCTGTTTGGCAGTGCCTTATTTTTAGACAATTGTGCCAGGTGTCTGTACATGTTGCTTGCTGTTCAAATCTCTTCCAAATTACACAAAAAAGCAGACAGAAATTTAAATTGCACTTTGTGAAAGTGCAGGTGTGAGCCTCTCCTGGCCTAGTCAGACTTCATGGCCAAACTCACTTCTGGTTGTCTCACCCTAGAATGCCCATTCTTCTGTCTACCAGCATCAAACCTTTGTTGCACCTTTCCCCCTCCACCCCTATTCAGCCAAGAACAAATGGGGGAGGATCAGCATCTTCCTACCAAAGCCAGGATTCTCATTCTAAATATGGCAAAGGTGAGCAGGCTCCCTCAGCAGTCTCTTTTAAATAGTGACATGCTGTTCAAATAAATGCAGATCAAATAGCCTGCCAAACATAAGCAGGGATGTAGACCCCAGAATCAGTCAGAAGACTTGATTTAAATGCGATTTGGAGAAAGGCACCCCTAAAGCCATCAATACTTCAACATCCTTACATGGATTTTTCTTACCTGCTTGACTGTTTCTGTTGGTGGGATCAGCTTCTTCATCTGAGATCCTCCCTTGTGGAAAGTTAATTCTCTCTAAGAGGGATCTCTGAAAGCCACAGGTGGGGAGTTGTATCTTCTGCTGCCTGCAGCTACTCTTGAGCTGAAGCTTCTGCTGCAAAAAATCCAGTGTTTTTCTACAGAGCCGGTCAGACCTCTTGCTCTGTCTCTGAGGCCCGTACAAGTGTGCAGTAGGCACGTTGATCCTTGTTGATCCAGGAAGGGTGTCTGAGCCTTGCAGGGCTGCAGGTTCTGGCATGCTGTCCTGGAGCAGTGCAGGCACTTTGCCACTTCTGCCCTCAGCCCCTTCCAACTGCTATATCAGCAGGAGGATTAGATCTGCTCCCCCACAAAATAGAACTGCCTAGGGAAGGCTTGTGTGTAAGCCCACAGCACAGGGAAAGCCAGAGTAGACCACATGGTGCTCCTTCTTTGGCTGCCTGGGGTTAGATTCCTTCATCTTCAGGAGCTCTGGCAACATTTGTGCCATTTTAAGAGCCCCAGCTGAAGGGGGTGAGGTTTGTAGTTGGAGTCATAGAAGAGTTTGGATTGGAAGGGATTTAAAAGATCATCTAGTACCAGCCCTCATGCCATGGACAGGGACACCTTCCACTAGATGAAGTTGCTCAAAGCTCCATCCAACCTGTCCCCTTGAACACTTTCAGGGATGGGGCATCCAGCTTCTCTGGGCAGCCTGTTCCAGTGATTGCCTCTCTACAGATGGAGGTGCTGTCTGACAGTCATTTTGGCTCTTCTGAGCCACACTGAGTGGCTAAATCAGCTGTCTCTTGCTGATGATTTCACCAACTCAGCTCCTCCAGCTATCCCTGCTTGGCTCCAACAGAGCAGATTTCATTTGTCAGTACTTTTTAGACTATTAGTCACCTGGTACAGAAAAGAGGAAAAATTACTGTAATGGTGGCTGGCAGTAGAGGCACCAAAAGTCATCTGTTGTCCTTTAATCTGAATGGGTCTTTACTGCTGGCAAACCTGAGAGAGGTTGGACTGGGGCATACTGAGATTAGTTTGCTCCATTACCACCTTGAGCAGCAGCAACTCCTTGTATCCTTGGGTTGCACTTGTTCATCCTCTTTGTTCCTCAACTGGGATGCCAGTCGGTGTTTCATCTTTCCGAACCTCGCACCACAGTTCCAGCTAGGACATCAGCTCTTGCCCATGTATTTCTGTCCCATGCCCCTGCTCCCTTTCATCAGCCACAGCAAACCTTGTGAGCTCGGTTCACATCATACCTGAACTGCTGAGGTGGGAGCACAGGTGTGGGAGCAGCAGGGCAGAGGGAGGCTGCCCTTGCCGAAGCAGCGCGTTGATGGCAGTGGCGCACGCGATTGGATTTGTGCCACGGTGCGAGTGAAGAGCAGAGGTGGGAGCTGCCCCTGCTGCTGGCCGTGCTAGGTGGGGCAGTGGTGAGCCTGGCACTGCTGGGGAGTCCTTTGCCTCGGGCAGGGCTGGGAGGGTTCACAGGCACAGCCTGGATGGACATAACTGACTTCAGAGACTTGGTCCTGTCCGTGTGAGTACGTGCTCACCTGGGATCTGTGCGGACAGCACTTCTTAAAGAATCACAGTTTCCCTAGGGTAAGTAACCACTTTCCTTTTTGTTTCCTTAAAGAAATATTTGAAACCCACGATGACTCTAATGCTTTTAACTCCTTACTGCGTTCTACCATTATTATGATTCTGATATTTCTAGGACCCTTCCTTTGGTTTAAAACTGACTGATTTCAGGAATTGATTCAGGATTCAGGAAGCTAGATTTGCTGTTTTATATAAAAGGCAAAATGTTCTCAGTACTGTGTTCTCACTATTGCTCTTTTATTTTGAAAGAAAATAGCCGTGAAACTTGTTTTCCTTTACTGTGCTTGAACCCTTTAAGTATGAAATGCAAGTTAGGAGGAGGATTATTGGTTATATTTCTGTATTGTCTTCATTACCCTTTTAGCTGAGATATCAAACGTTTTAAAATATTTTCAAGTGTAACTATTTTATCGGGTTTTTAAATAGGAACTGTAATTTGGGGAAAGAAAGTGTTACACTTTTTAATATTGAAAAGGAATAGAGTTATTTTATATTTTATATTTATCTTCCACATAAGGAAGATAATCTTCTACTTTTTTTTTGTTGAAATTCAAATACTGTCTAACCTGCAATTATCAAGGTGTTTGGAGACTTAGCAAAATTGGTGCTTCATAAATTCTGGAAGATCTGGGGTAAACTGTAAGAATTGTAAGAAGTCTGACAAATTAGAGAAGTAGTGTTTTGTTACTAGTACCTAAGTGGGCTTTGGGCACATGCGTGTGATGATGCATTCTGCTGTATGATGCTTCTCTGCTTCGTGTGGAGAATACTTGGTTATTCATTAAAAATTCTTCCTACCTCATCTAGGTGAAGCTTGTAACACTATGACCATAAGCAGTTACAAGGAGAACGGTACATCTTTGTCCAGTATTATGCCTCAGACATTTTCTAATACCAAAACCTTCTGAGACAGATGGTCTGGAAATCAGCATTGCCGTGGACAACTTTTGTCTTCCGTGCATAAGGAAAAGTCTTTTATCCAATAGCATGCTTATTGTTGCAAAACACAGGAATTATTTTATCTTTTCACCTAATCCTGCCCAGTAGCCCCCTTGTGTGTATGTTGTTGAGCTCTTTACATAATAATGGCCCTATAGAAATCGAGATCCTACTAATTGTAGCGTTGCCCTCACTTGCATCCATTGTATTGTGATTTTGCTGTATTCCTAAGGTAATGAATAAATGAGAGTACCTGACTGTCCTCCTTCCTTCTCCTCATCATTTTAGCTACATCTCGTGTTTATCTTGTTTATTTACTTGTTCCAGTTGCTTCATTTTCCCCTGATTCCATAGTCCTTCCATGTCTGTAGTGGCCTGTCTCTGAGGGCATCTGCTTTTTGCTAGAGTGACTTTAGGTGTGTGGTGAGCACTGAGGACTATAAACATTTAAGAGAAAGTTAAATGCCACTGAGAGGACTTTATAATATTTTAACAGAATTTGTTTGGGTCTTTTTTCTAAGCAGGAAATAGTCTGTAAATGTGAATAGTGAAGGTACTAAGTCCATGAGGACTTAGTCCATTACATGTATGTGTCTGTCTTATATATTGTCTACTTAACAATAGTACATTAGTAGAAACATCTGGGGAATGAAACTCTTCCCTTGTGACAGTGGAAGATGTTGAGATGGGCATTGCAGGGGAACAGATTTATAAGGGTCTTGCTGGGAGAGGAGGTAAGGAGTCACCAGCGATTTCTCCCTTAAACAAGGTGATTTGGGGACCTCAAAAAGTGGAGGTGAGGGTTGTACTCATTAGTTGAAAACAAAACTTTTTCTTTAGGTACTGGAGCTGTTTCTGCCTCCTGCCTGTATATACAAAGCCCCACATAAATGTTCCTCAGCCATCAGAGAGCTTCGGTTGGTTGCTCTGAAGCACTTCTGACATTAATTGATGTTTAGGGACACCTGTTTGCTCACATTCATGCTCACCAACAGAGGATGCTGGGGCTGTGCAGAGCTGAACTCTGTATCAAAGGAATGAATGATTTCTGGAGTGAATGGCAAGTCAGAAGGGAAAATGTTTTGTGTGGGGGGAAATGTTACATTACTACAGGGCTCCTGCCAAACAGTTTCAGCCTGCTGTGGGGTATGAGCACTGTATAGGGCTTTGCCCTTACACATCTGGAAGAATTGGACAGGAGAAACCTCCCCATTATAATGAGGCACTGAACATGTTTTCTGTGTATACCTATGTCATCCAGGAGGCCTTCTAGCAAGAAAAGGAAGACCTGCTGCAGATTTACAAAAGGATGATGGCAGGGGAAAGGGAAATATAAGGGAAATTCCAAAAAGGCCCTCTCAGCTTGCTCAGGCATACCTAGACTTGTCCTCCTTTGGGATTTACCTGTAGCATGTTCATCATTAAGAGGTTTTATTATTTTTTTAAAATTAATTTTATTTTCCTTTGCAGGTCACCTTTTAAGCTGCTATTTCCTGTATAATTAAGCAGAATGAAGGCATTAGGTTCTAGTAAAGTTGGGCCTAATCCAGAATCTTCTCTTACTCAGTTCTTTCTGAGTAAGAAGCTCAAGTCTGGGCCCAGCATTTCACATGTTTTGCTGTTACATCTAAATTATTTGTGGTCTGTGGATTTTTTTTTTTTTAACTTTATGAAAACTCCTTTGCTTTTGTCTAATTTTATCTCTTTATGTGTCACTGTCCAGCATAGCATTAGTTGAAATTATGTAAGTATACTGCAAATTGAAGTGCATAATTGCTACTGATAATGCAAGAATGATTCCTACAGTTTATAATTAACAGTATATAATGTTCTGTGCATGGGTTGGATCTGTCCCTTTTAACTTTTCCTTTCCGATTCTTTCCAATCCCTGGTCTTGCTGCATCACAGCCTTGATGAATGCACTGGTTTCGCTGGAGTCTAGTCCATTGTTCCTTTTGTTTTTCAGACCAGTAAAAATGGGAAGTACTGGATTCTGGTTTCCTCCAAGAAGAGTCAGCGGAACTGGTTAAGACCAAAATCTGAGGACTTTAGTGGGCAAACATCAGGTGTGCATTGAACAGAGGCTGCTTTAATCCTGCATTAAGTATATGCTTCTTTAAAAATAGTATTATATATAAGCTTTTGTGTAATGTGTTTGTTATATTTCATACTGCATATAATCATTCATCCTGCAGTTGAGAAAGTACCAGTAAGAATGTGGATTTAAAGTGATAATATGTTGAGACACAAGCAGGCAATTTTACTCATAAAATTCTTTCAGCTGGTCTTTGGAAAAATTAATATTTGAGGATCAGTGTTTTTTTAAAGTTTTATCTTCATTGCTCAGTCTATATATCCACATCCCAGAAAAAGGAAAAAAGTAGTTATTTGCTATTCAGAGATCAATACTGACATTCTTAATTGCCTTACCTATTGAGAAGTGATACTGAGATAATAGTGCATACGTGTTTTTTAATAAAATGCTGTCATTGTCAAAGATTGGATCCACACGATATTTGTTCTGATTATGCATTTTTAAGGACACTTAAACACAGTTCAAAGTCAGCTTAATTAGTTTTGATTGTAGAGGAACAAAACCCAAATTCTTCATCCCTGTGAATGTTCTGACTGGTACAGCAGCTAGGCTACCTCAAGTTTTGGAGAAGATAACAATAATTATGTATTGGCCTGAATATAGGATGGTCTCCAGCCTGAAGTGTGATCTTTGCGTTGAGAAAAGGAGTGAGAAATTGTCAGATGTTAATTTGTTAAGCTTAATATGCTGTTTCACAACAAAGGCTGCTTCTGACATCACATCAGATTCTGCAGAGCACCCTTCTGCATGGCCTCATATCCTGCATCTCCCCAGCTTGATGCACGTTCAGTTGCTTTCCACCCACCCCAGTGTTACCAGCTCACCCCTATCCTCATGTCCTTAGATATTCCCAATGCCTGTGCAGTACTCCCTGAGCCTCCCTAGCCCTACACCCCCATCTGGATTCTGTCCAATCTCCCTCTCTGTGGTGGCTCATCCCCCTTCCCTGTATCTTTCCTGTGTCCCCGCTTCTCTTCTCACTGTCTGGGCACCGAGTCCACATGCTGGACCCAGCATGGCTGAAGTAGTTCTACTCTCGTGCAGCAGACTGTGGAGGCTGTTCCCTTGCCTTTTCTGCTAGTCCTGCCTGCCCTGTCTCAGACTAGGTATGGATTTGGCAGGGAAGCCAGAGGGGCTGGATCCCTTGTACCCCGTTGGGGCTGTAAGTGTGCCCTGACCATGCAGTAAGGGTTGTGACTGCTGTGTTCTTAGCTCTGTGTGGTGGGTCTCGTGCAGGTGCCTGTGTGCTATAGAAGTACTCTGTGCAAGTGTAGGTCAGGTTGGGTTTTTTTTCTCCCCCCTGAACTTCATTTGTCAGGAGAGATTAGACTAAAGCAAAATTTCATTCTACATTCAGGCCAATATGCATTGAAGACCAGTGTGTTCATTAACAGAAGAACAAAACTAATTTTATTACTGGATTCTGATTAAAGCCTGTATTAAAAAAAAACCACCTTTCAATACACAGATATATCACAACTTTGATGTTAATCAGACTCTCATTTTGATTACATTGGTGGCTTCATTGAAGTCTTTGGAACTGGTCTTCATTTACTTTTATTGAAAAAATTATTGCTCCTAGGTCTCCAAACAACTGCTCCGTACAAACTAGAATTAGTGAGCTAGATTATGAGACAGAAAGTAAAATTAAGCTGATACTTTGAAGACCTGTGCATTTTCCCACTCATGGAACTGATGTCTCCAGGCTTCATCCCACAAGTGGGAATGAGTTTTAAACATATCTGAAAACAAGAGAGTCCTTAAAGAAATGCCTTTTCTCTTGCTAGGTATCTTTAAAAGAAGTTAGTGTTTCCTTATAACATTTAAGAGAATAAGGTGGTCTTGCAAAACTGCTTGTTTAAAGGAGGTAGCATAGCTTAACCTGTCATTCAAGGACTTCAGGGTTGAAAGGAAGCAGCTTTCCATCTTGGTGTGCCAGTACTTCTCTCCTCCTCCAAAGACAAGGGAAAACAGGGAGAAGGGAGGAAAAGGCTTAGACATACTCTGTATATTTCAAATGGAGGTCTCAGTCTGAGGATTTCTTAAAATGCAGACATTAAAGAGCACTTCCCCTTCTTCCTCTCCCTGCTTGTCCTGTCCTGCCATGCATTGAGGAAAACACAAGCATTCCTTCCTTCTCGCTTTCTTCCAGGACCATGCTGGGGCATTTGCGAGGAGCGTGTAGTTTTCCCCCAGCACACCTGGGTGTTGCTCTCCCTCCATCTCTGCTGAGCCTCAGCAGGGGTGAGAGGACAGCTAAGGCAAGGCTCCCTCTCAGCGACCCGGCCTCCCTCACTGCCGGCAGGGAAGAGCCCGATTTGTTTTCCAGTTGGGCTGGAGCAGCTGCAGCCTGGTGGTGCCTGCCCGGCTCCAGCTGTCCAGCTCCACCTGTCCCAGCAGCTGCAGCTTCCCAGCCCTGCTGCCGTGGCTGTGGCTCTGCCCGGACACTGAGCCCTGGCCCGGACACTGCCCGGCCCCGGTGCCGCCCGGCCCGGCCGCCTCCTGCGCATCTGCCCCGGCAGAGACCGGAGGGAACGGCAGCTGCCAGCCACGACACCGGGGCTGGGGGTGGCTGGTGACACTTTCAAGGGAGAAAGGCTAAATTTTGGGGCTTTCCAGCCCTCCCAAATGCTTGCATTGAGTGCTGTCCTGCTGCCCTCTTTGTCCCTGCTGCTGCTACGCTCCACCCTTCCTACTATGGGTAGCACAAGATTTTGGTATCTATAGTAGCAGTTGTGCTGTAAGGATGAAGCAAAGCTGTCAGCAATCCCTGACAAAGGAGGGCTGTTGAGTGCCCTGTGATGGCAGGTGCCCACTTGCCACTATATGATACCAGATGACAAATCTAAAGCTTCTCACCCACAAGTCAGACACAAAGATCACATCATGCATCTCCTGACAGTGAAAGCCTCCTGTTTAGTTCACATTTTGCTATGCCACAGGGGCAGGACTTGGAGCCTCCATGCTGAGCTAGCCTGAGTGTCAATACTTACAGCCTTCATGTCTCACAGGGTAGCATAAGGAGGCTGGGGGTCTCCAGCACTGAGCTGATAAAACCCTGACCTGTCTAATCTAACACTAATCCGTGGGACTTCTGTCATTCATAGATCAAGTCTCTCTTAGCAGAGGATGAGTTTACAGGAGAATTTCACCTGCTATTAAGCATTATTGGCAGCGCATGCATTTTGCTAGAGTAGATGTGCAGATGTGCAGTAATCATGGGGAAGGAGGTACATCTGAAAGAGAACATGAGCTTTGCCCTCCATAGTGTCAGCATGGGTACTGCTGCGTTTTTTGCAGGTTTTCAAACATTTTGAGGCTTACAGACTTTCACTTTGATAGTTTTGTGTGTGTGTGTGTGTGTGTGTGTGTGTGTGTGTGTGTGTGTGTGTGTGTGTTCGCGTGTGTGCATGGAAGTCTGTGCAAACACCACAGGCGCAGCTGTAATTCCTTTGAAATCAGAAGCTGCCAAAAGGTGCCTGGGTAGGTAAGCTCTTTGCCTGATGCCTCCCTTAATCTGGCAGACACTTTGCTGTTCTCCATCAGTGTTTCAGGGGAAGGTTGTGAGGTGTGATTTCAGGGCATATGTGGATCTGTTCATCCTGAGCAATGCGTTTTAAGAGTTGCAGCAAATAGTATAAAGAAACCTGTAGGTATTACATTAGACCAGCTGAACCTAACTTTATTTTTAAGTTTTATTCAGAAGCATCACATAGCAAGTAAACTTCAAAATCTAAGTTTAGTTACAAACTAGTTGTTTCTTATTTTTTTTTTCCAGTCCCCTTTTGCTTTCTTTTACGACCACATGAAACTTGAGAAGCCATCTAAAGCTAAATCATTTAGTGGAGTTGGGCAATTCCCAAGTGTCCAACAAGAAGGCCTGGTTTAGGCTGCGATGGCCACTGTCATTCCTGGTGATTTGTCAGAAGTAAGAGATACCCAGAAAGTCCCTTCAGGGAAACGTAAGCGTGGTGAAACCAAACCAAGAAAAAACTTTCCTTGCCAACTGTGTGACAAGGCCTTTAACAGTGTTGAGAAATTAAAGGTTCACTCATACTCTCACACAGGAGAGAGGCCCTACAAGTGCACACAACAAGACTGCACCAAGGCCTTTGTTTCTAAGTACAAATTACTAAGGTATTAAACTCTATTTATCTTTCAGATTATATTATCTATTTTATGTTGGCCGTGTTAAGCCGTGTAAAAGTATATATTTCTGTACGCCTTCAGCTGATTGCAGAGAGGATGTGTTAATTAAAGTAGTCATTGGATTGTTTCTAGAATTCTAAATTACCTAAGTTTGCAAGCTAATGTCTTTGATTTTGTTTCTTAATTTGTTTTATGCTTTTGTTTTCTGTTTGTTTGTTTTTGTTTTTGTTTTGTTTTGTTTTGTTTTGTTTTTAATGAGCGTAGAATTTTCATTTGTATAAGGAATTGTCACAAGAAAAAGAGTATGGACTGAAAGTTCTTTGGCTATGGACTTTTACACGAGTACTTTCATACTTGCCCATATACCCCTGTTACAGTAGCTAAAATCCACCAAAACTAAAGTGTCAATTTAAGAGAAATGGCTCGCGTTTTGCTATATTTAAATTTGTCAAACTGTCTTTGTAGTGTCATGCTTTCAGTTAAAAGGTTCTGTTGCAAAGCAGCCCTTAGTGTAGTATTTAGCTGCCATTAAAAAATGAGCACGTGTGTTTTTTGATCAAAATAATTACTTACAGAATATATCTGTGTTTAAAGGCATATGGCTACTCATTCTCCTGAGAAAACCCACAAGTGTAATTATTGTGAGAAAATGTTTCACCGAAAAGATCACCTAAAGAATCACCTACATACACACAATCCCAACAAAGAGGCCTTTAAGTGTGAAGAATGTGGAAAGAACTACAATACCAAGCTTGGGTTCAAACGTCACCTGGCTTTGCATGCTGCAACAAGTGGTGACCTCACCTGTAAGGTATGTTTGCAGACCTTTGAAAGCACAGGAGTGCTGCTGGAGCACCTAAAAACTCATGCAGGCAAGTCATCGGGTGGAGTGAAGGAGAAAAAGCACCAGTGTGAACACTGTGATCGTCGGTTCTACACCCGAAAGGATGTCCGCAGACACATGGTAGTGCACACTGGAAGAAAGGACTTCCTCTGTCAGTACTGTGCACAGAGATTTGGGCGGAAGGATCACCTCACGCGCCACATGAAGAAAAGTCACAACCAAGAACTTTTGAAGGTCAAAACAGAGCCAATGGACCTTCTAGATCCCTTTACCTGCAATGTTTCTGTGCCTATTAAGGATGAGCTGCTTCCAGTGATGTCTTTACCTTCCAGTGAACTGACATCAAAGCCATTTACAAACACTTTGCAATTAAATCTCTACAACACTCAGATTCAGTCCATGCAGAGTTCTGCATCTGCACACCAAATGGTTGCCACATCGTTACCATTGGGAATGCCTTGTCCAATAGATATGGAGTCTGTCCACCCTTCTCACCAGCTATCGTTGAAATATCCGCTCGGTACTACCTCATACTCAATTTCTATGCCTGAAAAAGAACAGCCATTGAAAGGGGAAATTGAAAGTTACTTAATGGAGTTGCAAAGTGGTATGCCTTCTTCATCCCAGGATTCTCAAGCATCTTCATCAAAACTAGGGCTGGATCCACAAGTAGGGCCACTAGATGATGGGTCTGGGGAAGTTTCCCTTTCCAAGGGCTCCGTTCCTATTAGCGAACCTCTAAACACCCCATCATTGGACTTCTCTCAGCTGTTCAACTTCATACCTGTAAATGGCCCTCCCTATAACCCTTCTGTTTCGGTGGGAAACCTCGGGATGAGTTATACGCAAGAGGAGGCACATTCTTCTATGACTCAACTTCCACCACAAACCCAGGATCCACAAGATCCTAGCAATAGTATAGGTCTTGGGTCTCTGCACTCATTGTCAGCAGCTTTCACAAGCAGTCTAAGCACAACCACCACCCTACCACGATTTCATCAAGCTTTCCAATAGGATGTACAAAGCTGGCTTGTTAACTGTCTATTTGTAGAAATGCCTTAGGTGACCATTTTTAACTTAGTGCCTACTATAAGACATTATAAATTCTCTGCTTTTGTACAGTACCAATCTCATGAAGCCAGTAAGAAATTTAAATTAACTTTTTTAAAATGTTTTGAAAGTGTTTATTCTCAGCTGTGTTTACTTTGGTTTGTTGGGTTTTTTAACAGTCTCATTGTATTGTTTTCATTTTCACTGCCAATTTACACATTTAAAATGTTCAGTAGAAAGTCATCCCAGGCAAACTCACAACACTCATCCTGTTTTTAAAACTTTTTCAACCATACCAGCTATTCTGTTTTATTGATGTCAGTGGTAGAACTGCCACTTTTACCTTTTAATATATTTTACTATTTGCAAATAATCCATTTAAAATATGTATCACAAGGATTCCTGAGATTTGGGAAAAAAATTCTCCAGTCTGTTTCCAAACAAATCCTCTTCCCAAGTGGCAACACATCTGACCTGTTCTATAATGACAAATCTAAATTTTTAAAATAAATGTAGAATTCAGATTTTTCTGAAAACTTGTGTGTGTATATATAGAAGTCCATATATACACATGTACATATATATAGCATTTTGACTTGTATTGAAGTCATTATAAAAGTTGTTAAGAATTTTGCCATTTTCTGGCTTAAATTTTGGTGGCCTGTTATGGATAACAGAAGAAAAAAAATTTAGTGTAATTCTCTAAAATTAGGGCTGAACAGAATTTCGACAGAGAATCTCTGCTTGCCTAAATGACAGATGTTTCAAGTTGAATTTGAAACTGTGTTGTTGTGCTTTCGTGACTCTGGTATAGGGAAACAGGCAAAATTAATGGCTGATCTTGAAATATAAAAGTGTTGTAAGGTAGTAATGCAAATATTTTGTCGCAGTTTTTGTTTTAATTCTTAACTTGCTGTTTTTTTTCTCTTTAGTAGCATAGAAAGAGTACTGCATAGGAACCTTCCAGTAGTGTGTTCACATTTGTAGGCGTCAGTCTTCTCCCCGCTGCCACCGCCAAAGGGTGGATCAAGTCCAGCCAGAAAGTGTGTACCTATTTTCAGTTCAAAACTAGTGTGCAGTCAGAAAGTGAATGTAAATTTGCAGCTATCAGTTTGTTTTGTTTTGTTTTGTTTTTATTGGAGTGATCTTTTCAGTTGTGTTACATGGTGTGTTATGTCCTCCTAAGCAACAAGTTAGATGTTAATCACACTTTCTACACCTGGGTACTTGGTTAGGGACTTTTTGCCCATTGCCAAGATTTAAAGACAGGACTCTTAGGAGTGAAGTAAAAGCATATTGCTTACACCACTTTTTACCTAATGCAATATATTCTATTCCCCAACCCCTAATAACCAAAAGAGGAAAAAAAAACCTTAAAAAAACAACCAGCCCTGTGATGCATAAAAGCAAACTAGATTTGCTGTAATTCAACAATAACATTATTTTCCTTGTCATTTTTGTACAAGGAATTAAAAAATGGAAATTAAGTACATTAGTATCTCTCAAACAATAATGAGGATTCATATAAGGTTTTAAGTGGTTAAACTAAATATACTTCACAGAAACAAAAGTTGCTCCCATTTAAGGAGCTCATGCTCCGGATGTTTTATCAGTAGCTCCTACTGTTTTTTTTAATGCTAGGAGCAATATGCAGGTGTGGTTTTACTATTTTATACATATGTGTATTTAAATTTTATTACTGAAAAATAACATTTTTATAAATGTGTTTGTGTTCCAAAGGCATTAAAATAAGGATGTATTAATAAGGAAAATACCTTTTGAAATTCTGCAAACTACTCCTAGATTTTGAGTTTAGGAGCATGTTATCTCAAAGTGGGCGTTTAGCTCTGCTTCACGACTGCTTCCTCTGGTTTCTGTGAAACAGATTGCTCGCTTGCTTACATCTTTAGTTGAATGATTTGTTCAATATTGCTTTTTTTCCATTCACCTTTCTAAAGGAAAGAAAAACACAGATGAACAGAGCACAAGCTGAATGCAACCGAATGTAACTCTAGTTTATATGAACAACCGTAACGCATCTAAGAAAAACTTGGGCTTATTCTCAATCCTTTTAATCTGAGATGAAGATAAATGGACTTAATTCCTCCAGTGGGTTATGTCCTGCATGGAGCTGAGCATCTGCGACTCTCCCTGCAGCAGAGGAAAGCTGCAAGTGCTTGGCATCCCTCAGCTGGCACAGCAGCGTGGCCAGGCAGCGCTGCCCTCCCTGGGCAGCCTCTGGCACACGAATTTCCAGTCTGGAGCCATTTGTTATCGGCCCCAGCTGCCGAAAGATTTCATAAAAAACAAAACCCACAAACACTTTGCCAACACCCGTTTCTTAGTGCGTAGCCAGAACCCTTATTACATTGTTCGTGCCTTAGCTTCCTGAAAAGGGATTGACATTTCACTTGGAGTTAGATGTACATTTCACTTGAGAAACAGAGACCTCAGACAAGATATTGAACCTCATTCAGTCAGGGTTTCAGTGGGTGTCTGCACCCAGAGTGTTTGCAGCTGAACCAGGATGTAGGGTAACGTGGAAGCAGACTGACCCTTTAAGCAATACCAACACCACCAGAGTGCTTTTGAGCATTGCTTAGGCAGAGTCAATATTGGCCACTACTAAACCATCAGTTTTTAAACCCCATTTTCTTGATTTCCCATGGATTCTTGGTGGGAGGGGGGAGGGCTGGCTGATCATGCACCACTCTTTGTGCAACTTCTAAACTTCTAGTAAGGTTGTTTTGTTGTTTTTTTTTTTTTTTTAATATATATATTTTTGTGTATTTGTTGCTTGTGCTTTATTTAGTAGTAAATTGTGGAATAGAGTGATTTATTGTTAATTTGGCAGTAGCGGTTTTTAAAAACCATATACTGACTGAAACATGAGCCAGAGCTGATTGCTTTATTAAGCTAATAATGAATGTTAAGAGTACATATTTTCAGGATCATTTGCCTAGTGAGCTAAACTTGTATTATAGGCCAATATTTTTTAAAATAAAGCTTGGTCAACCTCTATGTTACACATATTACAAGATATAGCACTTTCAAAAAGAAAACCTAAACCTTTTAAGAAAATTTCTTACAGGTTATGCTTTTTATTATAAAACCTTTTATTATAATTTGTTTCAAGTGCCATTAGATTACATATATGTAGGCCTTTGGTATAATGCTTTGTGTACAAAATGGTAGACATTGTAATTTTAAACAGGTACATTTTTACAGTGTTTTCTTATCAATTTGCTATATTGCACAGAACCAGTGTGTCTTTCTTAAGGGTTTTACAATGGTTTTTACTAGGTTTACATGTTTCAAACTACACTGTCTTCTACTGCCATTTTGAATACCAGTCAAAAACAATTAGGAGTTTGTCCTCACCATTTGCAAACTGTGTCTTCTGGAATTCTTGATGGTAAACTTTTTCAAAAATATTTAACATGCAGTATTTGATACAGATTTTTTTTTAATCACATCCTATCATCGCTATGCTGCTGTCTGAAGTAAACTTTGGGCCTGATCCTGCATCCATAAATGCTATGGGGATCCTGCATCCTTTGTTATGTCTGTCTCATACACTGGTTTAGCAGCTTCTCATGTATTCTTCTCAGTCTATAGATAAGCCTCTGAAATATATGTACTTACCTGGTATGTAGTAAACCATTATAGGCTTAGCTGCCCCTCCTGCTTCCCCCCAGTGTACAGTTTAAACCACAGCTTACTTAGCATCATGCTCAACTTACAAGTAATGCCACAGTAGTTCAAAATGTGTTTGGGTAGTCCCAAAGCTTTTATGCAATAAGGGTGTCTTACTTTTGTTGGAAGGCAGTGTCTTTTGATAACAGTTATCTAGCCCTGGAAGTGACACAGAACTATTGCTAATCATATGTAAACACTTTTCAGTATAAGCTTCAGTGGTACAGTTGAACCAGAGTGAATGTTTATCTCCTCAGAAACACTCCTGCAATATTGTTATATTGGATCATGCTGCTAATGTAACTTGGGATACAACTCCTGTCATGGTGCTACAAACCTCCCTGTCTCATTCAGATGTATTTTTACCCATAGAAAAAAGGACTATACTAGACCTATAGTTGTATGATATATTTTTATACTGTGACTTAATTTGTCATTAATGAACTTTGTGCAACACCACAATGTATTCATATGCACTTGCAAAAGTAAAATTTTGGACATGCAAATTTAAACGCTGACAAGCCCAGCTCTTGTTCACAAAAATAGGGGACTGCTAGTTAGTGTTAAATGTGGGCTTTTTATATGGTGTGGAGTGAAGAACATACTATATGTTACTAAAAGCCTTAGACAGAAACTGGGAAGAGTATATTGGTGAATGATGTCACACCCAAACCTGACTCGGATTGCTGAAATTATATTTTTAGCTAGTGGAAAAATTGTTTGGACTTGTATGCTAAAATGTTTTTAATGATAAAAGTTTTGAGTCAAAAAAATAGAGAAAAAAAAAAGAATACAGAAAACCCTGCATTCCAGACTGAATTTGTATATGTTTCTTGCATTTAAAATTTGCTATCCTGTGATATGGGAAATTGAGTTGCTTATCATGTATATGTACTTTAAAATGTATTCACAAACTACTGTTGTATTTGTATAAAATATAGACAAAAAGATTGCATATATATTTTTGTGTATAAGCTCTGTAAAATAGCAATCACGTTATGAAGCTGCAGCAGAACTTCATTTTAAACATTCACATCCAAAGAAACAGACTATTTATTGTCCACATACCCTGATTATAAAATATACCTTGCTGCTATTAAACAATAGTGCTGCAGCTTCTTGTGGCCTACAGTGTTATGTTTGCTGTACAAAAATATGTGAACTCCACAAAATATATCAATAAAATTACAGAATGGTTTTAGTTAATGAATAACTTATGCCTGGCATTTCAATAGATAATCTTGATCTGCATGTTTGGGATTGCAAGAAGTAGTTACAGAGTACATCCAGTTTTGCTGGGTGTAGTTTGCAAAGGCATAACTGTCTTTATAATTTATGACTGGTAAGATGTCAGTTTTTCAGAAAAACTTAAGGCATAAATATCTGCATTTCATGATTTCACCAAGGAACAAATGGGATGATGCTACTGTGTCTGTGACAAGACAGGTCTGAACTGAAGGAAGCAATTGAGTTTGCCATCAAATTGCACTTTGAAACACTCTGATACACTAGAAGGTAAGTATGGGGTATCCATAGTGGGACCATTCCTTTGGGACACATAGGTGAGTGATTCCCCATCATTTCAGATTAATGCAAGCCTGGTACATCATTCCTTGCAATTTGCAGGACAAACTTCAAGGTCATGGGATGTGCTAGATACAGTATGTGGCATGTCTCTCTTCTCTGAGGAGAAACTCAGCTGCTTTGGTCCCTAGATGTCCATCTGGCAGTGGCACTGACTTCTGAAGAAGCCAGGCTAATGCTCGGGGAAGAGGTGCCTACAGCCAGACAAGCAGCTTGCCTGCACACAACTGGCAGAAAGTTACCTCAGGTGTTCCCTAACATAGCCTGTTTCCCAGGAAAGTAAAGGACTAGCATTTCACATTTCATTGCTTTTCAGAACATATTTTGTTAACATCTTTAGCACTGTCTGTGTTTCCCTGCTTTTGAGTTCCTCTCTTTTCCAAATCTCGGCTTTTTAGGTTCGGTGCTGTAACCCAGATGGAGAGAAATGTTTTTAGAGAGTTACTGGCTTTCGCCTTCTCCACATGCAGACATCTTTCCTTTCTTGTGATCCCCATCCCATTCCTCTAAGCTGACTTACCACTTCTGTGCCAAAGGTTTCTAACTTGTTTGGGAGGGTTGGCCTTATTATATTGAGAGTCAAAAGC